GGTGGATTCACCATTACTGTCAATTGAAGCACAGATATATTAAAGGGGAATTTAGTATAATACCCTTAAGGTCCATCCATGTTGTCAGAAATGGCAAGATTTCATCTTTTTTTCATAGGGTATTACGCTACAGAGAAAGACAGATACTGTATGATTTCACTCACATGTGAAATACAAAAAATAAGCAACAAAAAACCCAAAATAGATTAGCAAACCAAACAAAAACGAACACATAGATACAGAGAACAGAGTAGTGGTTACCAGAGGGGAAGGCACCGCAGGGAGGTTGAAATGGGTAAAGGGGGCCAACTGTAAGGTGATAGAAAGTAAACTTTCTGTGGTGAGTGCGCTGTAGTGTATACAGACGTAGAAGTATAGTGTACTCATGAAACTTGTATAATGTTGTAAACCAATTTACCTTAATTTTTGAGAAAGGGAATTCAGAGGGCAAATTAGGTTGTTCTGAAGAAGCAATTTTAAATCATTCCCTAATAACTTGATCTCAGTGATTCCACTGAGTTGGGTAGATATATATTTTATTAATATATATAAATATATGTAAAATGCATAACTATATCTACTAAATAATATATCCAATTTAAAATAGATTACTTTTTAAATTGAAGTATAGTCCATTTACACTGTTGTGTTAGTTTCTGGTGTACAGCATAGTGATTCAGTTATACATATATATATTCTTTTTCATATTCTTTTTCATTATAGGTTATAACAAGCTATTGAATAGAGTTCCCTGTGCTCTACAGTAGGACCTGGTTGTTTATCTGTTTTGTATATAGTAGTTTGTATCTGCTGATCCCAAACTCCTAATTTATCCTTCCCCTCCTTCTGCTTTGGTAGCCATAAGTTTGTTTTCTATGTCTGTGAATCTGTTTCTGTTTTCTAAGTAAGTTCATTTGTGTCCTTTTTTAAGATTCCACATATGAGTGATATCATACAGTATTTTTCTTTCTGTTTCTGGCTTACTTCACTTAGAATGATGATCTCCAGTTTCATCCATGTTGCAGCAAATGGCATTATTTTATTCTTTTTTGTGGCTGAGTAGTATTCCATTGTATAAATACACAGCAGCTTGCTTATCCAGTCATCTGTCGATGGACACGGAGGTTGCTTCCATGTCTTGGCTGTTGTAAATAGTGCCGCTATGAACACTGGGGTGCAGGTGTCTTTTCGAACTGCAGCTTCCTTCGGATATATGCCCAGGAGTAGGATTGCTGGATCATAGGGTAAGTCTATAAATAAAATAGATTACTTTTTGAACACATCTAAACAGGATTTAAACAGGGTTAAAAATGGAGGTGTATGGGGAGAAAAGCATAAACCCTCTTAAACCTGTTTTCAAGAGCAAAGTAGGGCCCTGCACAGCTTTAACTAGATTCAAAGATTGGCACATTTAAGCTTCGAGTTGAGAAAGTATTCAGATTTAGAAGAAAGCACCTGTTAAAGTAGATATTGTATGTAACTATGAGGATTTTCCAGAAACATTTGCCTGTTTTTGCTATAAAATAAATCAGTTAAGACTTAAAACATTCTGCAGCCAGATCGGTGGTTGCTGGGAGTGAAGGGAGGCATACAAAGGGGCAGAAGGAAACCGGTGGGGGTGATGGGCATTTGCACTCTCTTGATTGTGGTGATGGTTTCATTAGTGTGTAAACATATGTCAAAACTCATCAATATTTACACTTTTGATACATGTGCAGTTTATTCTTTTATGAAACATGTAGTTTATTGTATATTGATTATGCTTTACTAAAGCAGTTTAAAAAAAAATAACTCCTGCGGCCTATGGTGTAGCCAATGTTGAAGTGGCCAAGTGCTCCTTCGTTACCCAAAGTCCTATTCTAATCTCCTAGGCTTCAGTCCATACTCACACAAACTTGGGTTATGGGTCCAGATGCCTGTTGGCATTTACAGTGATGGCAGACAGAGGGATGTCTTTGATGAGAGAAGGGAGTTGCCATTGTATTACTCTGTTTTGATTCTTTTCTGGGCGAGTTTGTATGAGCAGCTGTGAACTGTTTCCCTTTAATAGTTTTTTATTATCATGTAAGTTTCCTCTTTTTAATTAAAAAATGTAATACAAAATGGGCATGTTTATTGTAAACATTCAAAAACTGAAACGGTACTTCCCAATCCACTTCTCAGGGGAAATGTTATTGACAATTTGAAGTACATCCTTCCATGCTTTATAGGGGGAGGTGTGTGTGTGTGTGTGTGTATATATATGTATGTGCATGCACGCGTGCATGCATGTGCCCACCATGCATGTGTGTTTATATGGCTTTACTTTTACAAAAACAAGATCATATTGCACATTATTGTCCTGCAACTTGCTTTTAATTTTTTCCTCTAAAAAGGATCATGGGCATCCTTCCATGTCAGTAAGCACACCCACCCCTCCCTCCCTCCTTCCTTTCCTTTCTCCTCTCCCTCCTCCCTCTCCCCTTCCTACCTCTCTTCTTGGTAGTAATCATCCTCTTCCTCTTCCTCCTCCTCCTCCTCCTTCATTTTTTGTTAGTTTTGGCTTGAGGTTTCCTTAAGGAAAAAGCATCACAACAAGAATTCGTAAATATTGAGCACCTATGCGCCAGGCACTGTCTGGTCTATTTTCAGTGATTTGGCAGAAGTTACCGATGACATTGCTGTCATGTTGAAGCCATGACATATGTAAAAAGCTTACTTCTGGGTACACACTAGAACCTCAGTATTTTTTAGAATAATATTGGAAGATTAGCTCCCTATTCTGGGAGAGTATTTGAAGATGAAATATTCACAAACATTTCATTTAAAAGCCTATGAAGGAGAAGCAATGTCTAATCTGTTCTTGCTGTGGTTGGGAAAGAGGAGTTGGAGTGGAGGATTTTAAAGGAGGCCAGTTTTTTTTTTTAAATTGAAGTATAGTTGATTTACAATGTTGTGTTAGTTTCTGGTGTACAGCATGTTGATTCAATCATATATATATATATATATATATATATATAATACATATAATTTTTCAAGATCTTTTTCATTATAAGTTATTACAAGATAATGAGTATAGTTCCCTGGGCTATACCATAGGATCTTGTTGTTTATCTATTTTATATATAGTAGTTTGTATCTGCTAATCCCAAACTCCTAATTTATCCTGTGCTTGTCCCTTTCCCCCATGGTAAAATTT